CCCAAAAAAAAAAAAAAAAGGCTAATAAGCTTACCATATCTTCTACCAGGCGCTCTATTAGTTCTAGGGGCTTGGAAAATGATCGTCGTATTAAAGTCTGCTGTCATATGAAATGTTGAAGGGCTATCAGAATATTCTGCCTAATAATTTCCCAGCAGCATGTAGGCGAAAAAAATGCCCGAACTTGAAGCCTCTTCCTCTTTCATTGTAGAGCCAATACTACCACCTTCCTCTGAGATTGGCCTTTCTAGTCACACAGTTATTTTCCTGCAAATGGATTTGGGTGCTTTGAAGTTGTGGTCTCTTAATGGAACTCTATGCATAGAGGTTTTGTTAAGTTGCCCTGTCACATTCCTTGTTCTGTTCCCTCTTACCACTTGGTAAATGAGGATGACACCAATGTAATTGTACTTCCTCTGAGCAGTGTCCATTAAGGGGAAAAACTTTTGTTCTTGTTTCCTTCCATTACCAGTGAAGTGTAGCTGAGTGTCTGCAACAAATCTCTTCGGCCAAATATAGCCTCTGAAACTCCCTTCCAATTCATTTTCTTTGGCGGTCCACATCTCTGGAGGGGTAAACATTCTCTTTGGAGCTTGTCATTTCTGATAGCAGGTCCATGTTCTATTTCCGATCCTAGCCTTACATTATTCACCAAGTATGTAGCTTGCCTTATAATCCTAGTATATCATTGACCGAGAAAATTGGTGGCTGTTGCGTACCTTGGTCAGTAACATGATGGCTTGTCATTTTCGGTCTTTCTTTATAAACTTCACTCTGTAACAATATGAGCTTGAAGTACTTTATTCTCTAATTTCATGTCATTGCCAATCCCGTTCTTGTCAGTTGTACAATTTTAGTGTTCTATGCACTTGGTTGTGACTTGTGAGTTATTTGTAGACAGGATATAGTATATATGTTTCCACATATGGCAGATGGACCTCATTGTAAATTATTTTTTGCCTTTGCTAAAAATGTTTTTTATCTTGACTTGTATTCCTTTTAATATGTGTACTAAGTATTCCTCTGTGATTCTGTCCGGTAATGGATAATGTAGCAATTTAGTAAAGTAAAATTAACACGGATTTTTATAAGGTTCTGAAAAACATGGTCTATTGTTTGGTGTTGTTTCTTATGCTCTGCATAAATGTTGATTATGCAGATTGCTAGTTTTATTAAAACCCATATATTCAGCCGAAGGAGGCCTATAGATGGTTGGAAGTACATGATAGAGGAGATTGGACCAAATGCCAAGAAAGGGAAGGGCAGTGTTTCAAGGTTACCTAGCATAGCAGATGCATCAACTCGGCCTTTTAGAGAGGAAGTAACATCATCGGACGCTACTTTCCCCTCTAATCGGGGGAGGACTGGAAGGTAGTATGTGTAAATTTTTGTTCATAGTCATTGAGGAACTATGGACACATCAATGTTGTAAAATTAGTACTGAACTTGTCTTAGGAAGTTTTATTGAATTTAGTACAAAATTTTCAGTAGGTCCTAGTGGAAATCATCTTTTTCCATCTTAATAAACATAATCTATATTTTTCTCTTCTTTTTCTATCTCGAGCTGAATATAACTTTATCATCATTTTCTCGTTTAATAACTCCATCACTGACATGAGCAAGATTAAATTCTTACTTTAGTTTAATATAGAAGCTTAAACCATTGCAACAATAAGCACAAGTTGCTGATCTGTTCCGTATAAAAATTTTTGATTAAAAGAAATTAGTTTGCACCATTGAGGTAAGTTTGGTTATTTAATTTTTTTTTAAAAAAACCATCGCTATTTTCCATAGCTAGATTGGAATTTGCTTCTACTAAAGTTTTAGAACATGAGAACTGTGATATTTGTCAATTCTTTTTGTAAACTTGTCCGTTTCTCTTTAATATCGTAATTTTACACTTCATGAGTTGTTACCAGTATATGTGGGAACAACTGTTCATTTTGATCATACTCAAAACAAAAGAAAAGAAAGAAGGGAAGGAAGTTGAAATTTCAGATTTATGAAAGCTGCAATTAACACATAATAGAGAACATTTTGCATACACTTTGACTGTAGCGATAACTTATTTTCATATAATCATACATCCAAACTCATTGTTCAGGTGATTGGTATAATAGTTGGTTTACATATTCTTTTTGATTGCTAATGTTCAATGATCAAGATACAACCTTAATATTCAGAAGGAATGAAATTAACATATCCTGACCTGCTTCTACTAATGAAAGAAATATCCGACTAGATATATTCCCTTGTTTTTAAGCAAAGAGGAAGTCGAGCAAGCAAGGGACGTGAAATCTACTTGGAATAGAAAATGGTGCAGCTCGATCAGTATAAGAATAGAAGGGTAGGCCTTTGGCACCCGAAAAGTTTGGTTAAAACCTACAGTGACATTGGGTAAATCAATATTCTCACCTAACCAGTCTCTCGTTTTACCATCATTTTGCACCAATCTCCTTATTTTGACTATAGTATTCAACACAACGCGTACATCTCAACTTAAACTAGGACTTCTCTTCATCTGATTGAGGACATGTTGCAGGTCCTGGGGCAGCATCAACGTCAACGAAGAATTCCTCAACTAAAATAAAGCCAAAACCAAAAGCACGAGAACTATTAGTTCATAACCAAAGCAAAGCAAAGCAAAGAAAAAAAGTTTAGCAGTCATGCCATCTATAAACTATAAGAAAAATTTCTACCAAGCAACTTATTCATGATCCCAAGACAGTTAAAGGTGGAGCTAGAATTTCAGCTTTATGGGTTCTGGATTTTAGAACGATGACTTCAAGTGCCAATAACTAGATTCTAAATTTAATGTGTACATATTTGATGCATTTATTAATACAAGCACATTGTTTGAGCAAAAGCTACAGAGCTTCTACCCCCGGTCCTGAAGACAAGCACAACTTTCTAGACATGCCTTGCACGAATAATAACATCATTGTGTTGTAAACTTGTAATACCCTCATTGAATAAGGGAGTCTAGGAAACAAGTAAGAGAAAGGGAAGGCAAAGCAAGAAGTATTATTGTGAAATAGCAGACGCTAGTCATTTAGCGAAAGTAAACACATTTGACGTGTGCCTTGACAGATGATATCAGAAGTTCTCAACTAGGATATACAACCAACAAAGCTACCATTAGGTCGATAGATAAAACAATGTAGCCCCTAAAAGGTTATAATGATGATACCACTGTTACTGCATAGAACATGATCACCACTGTGCTCCTCCAAGTGGGAAAAATAGACAGTCATAATTTCAGAAGAGAACCGTGCAAGTTTAACATGCAAATGCAAAAGACTAGAACTGGAATCAATGTATCAATAGTTAAATGTGGCTTATCAGGCTAGTCAGAAATTTGCAATTGAACATTCAGGTGGCACTAAATGTTCATGATTAAACCATGTCACACAAAGGCATGAAAGCCAGATTGCATTGACAAATATCAGAGCCAGATTCCAACAAGATTTCAAAGTAAAAGAAAAAGAATATCGACTATAAAAAGACCCCAGCCATTAATATACATTAGATGTGGAGATAGTTAAAGCTAATGCTTTTGCTAACTTCTCAATCTGTTTCTGATTCAGAGCATAACATTACATGGGCAAGAAAGTTCTCACCTATATCTTCTTGTTCTGGAGAATCAAGCAGAATATCTGAATCGGAAGGCAAAAAAGGGGAACCAGGATAGTTTCCTAGAGATCCTAGATCTGCAATTAGTATTGAATCAGAAGTTACAATTAATCAGACCAAAGAGGAAGAGAAAAAAATGATAGAAGGGAAGAAAAATATGGGACAAGCTTGTCTATACGAGAAACCGGGACTAGAAAATGCTAAGAGCAGGAAAGGAATCCTCAAATTCAAAACTTTATGTAGCCAACACAATTATTAAAGAAGTTCAAAGAGCAATGCTTAGAACCAAAATTTGCTTTCCAGGAGTCGTGTGATTAAAAAAACTTTGAATTTTGTATGAAGAAAGTTACCTCCTAAGTTTGACAAGTCTGCAGTTAGATCTGAAAGACTGAAATTCCAAGGAATCTGATCAAAAGATCTCAGCATATCTCTAGAATTACCAACCCCGTTATCTGGCGGAAGTTGCAATCCTACTGAACTTGCTACATCAGATGGGAATGAAGTGTCAAGGGCTGAGGTATCAATTCCCATCCCTGAAATCTCCGAAGCAGTGAAGGGGAAGTGGCCACTTGAAGCAACTGATGCAGGGCTTACAGGCATATCAGACATTGATGACATGGCATTGCTAGGTGGAACAGCTGGTGCCACATCAGATACACTGGTTTCTACCACCATACTGTCAGCAGATTGGAAAATGTTGAGCGCCATTAGTCATGCTATTTCTCTTAAGAAACTAATAGAAACAGCTTTTCATCATTTGAAGCCCAAAAACATTATATTCCACCAGATTGATTGTCTATTCCTATTTGAAAAGCTTGATAAAGAAAATTAACAAACTAGGCATGGACAACAATAAAACACAAGTATGGAGGATTGTGCAGAAAAAAAGCAACCTCTTTCACCAACCTACACTGATTAAACCCAATTATACCTTCAGTAATACTTAAACAATGAGAAGTGGCTGGAGTCTTCACCAGATTTATGAAGCATGAAATATATGCACTTGCAACGGAGTAGAGTCAAATTCAAGATACTTGGGCATATGCAAGTACAAGAGGGTCACTAAATAAGAAATACATGGACCCTAATAGGGCACACTGGTCAGCTGAGAAAGTGTTCTAGTCTCACATTTCAAAATTTTAAAGGGAAACATGGATTCTCACTCATTTCCAGAATTCATCCGCATTGGATGATAGTTGCTTGGCGCAGGGACACCATTAACCACATGGAAACTGGACATGCCCATAGAATTAAAATGAGGTTGACCTGCAGCTGGAAGTGGAGGTTGCTGTAGGACGGGGTATCCCATGGGCAAGTTGTTGACTGCACTGAAAACAAGAGGTAATGAATAACAATGGCAAGAAAGCATACAAGAGTATTGTTCAATAGCTCTGTAGATAACATTAAGATCATTCTCTCTTAAAGTAGCTTAACTCCTATTTGAAAGGGACTGATAGTTTAACGTTGTGCCAGAAAGGGAAGAGGTGATTGGGGGGGGGGGGGGGGGGGAAGACAAAGACAAAAAATGGCTATGAAATTGAAATGACAGTAATGATAAATTTAATTACCTGGCATGGTATTTATCCCATTCTGCATCGGAGTCAATGGAACCTTAGGTGGCACAGGATATTTCATTAGATGATATTGATGCTCAAGCAAATGATTGAACAAGATGATTTGTTTCTTCAGTTTAAGCCTAATGTAGTAGGCCCGAAAGAAATCTGCATTTTCCTCTTCCAATTTTTGCCAAACTGTATTCAGTATAAAGATGTTTAAAGGACTGAGAACTGACACCTAACAGCCAAAGTTATAGACCCGATAGCCACTCAGTAACAATAAATATGAGAAAGCATATTTCAATCAAGCAGCAAATGCATAAAACACCACAATCACAAACAACTGCATTCTTGATATACATACCAAGAGTTGTAAATCCAGGATCTATCCTTGCACGGTTAAGAAGTGTTTTAACGACTTCATCCTTATTCATATACAATTGTAAGCACCGCTCGATCAAATTTTGGACCTACATCACCAATTGTGTCATAATTAAGTTAAAGAACAAGGTGCTACAAGGAACAGAAACTTCCCCTACGCATTCACACACTTGTATAATAGTATGTTCTCGAAAAAAGAACTATCTTACTAGCTCAATATCTTCACGTGAAACTTTCCGGTTGTCATTGCCTGATGCAGAAACTGAACCTGAATCTGCTACAGGTGTTTCCGTTGTATTGTTTTGCTGATCACTTTGAGCCTCGTGAGAAGCCTGGTTGGAAGATTGTTTCTCAGTTGTGTTTTGCAGATCCTGCAGTTATTGCAATAAACAATTTATGACAAAAAGTTCCACATCTGAACAACACCTTATTAAAGGAATTCCGTTGTAAAAATGAATATCTAAACTTATAGGGTTTCAGAATTTTAGTCATCTGATTATATTATTTGCTGGTTCTATAAGAAAATAACATAGATAAACAGTTAAATATTACAGGATAAAAAGGAACAACCTATATTATAGACCTGAGATCACTCAGCCTTAAATAATAAGCCACAAATGTAAGCAGCAAGTCAAATGATTCATAAGTTTGTTTCAATAAGTTGCAGTGACAAACTTTTTTGAAAAAATTATACAGCAATGCCAAAAAAGTGAAAAATCCATAAAGCAAAGCAGAGAAAAACATCAAGGATCTGAACATGTCCAAAAAGGAATTCTATTATAAGAACCTGTGTGGTCTTCATTTTAGCTAACTGCAAGCACATTAAATATCTCCATGAAGCTCGAATACGCCATGGCTATAACTTGTATTACTACTTCTAAGATCTCTCAATAAAGGAGAATAAATCACCTGAGGAAAAAAATGGAAGAAAGATTAAGAAAAAATTTACAAGTCCACTAACAGTGTAAATGAAAGATCAAACCTAATGTATTAAGCATAGAATTTCAGGATAAAGAAAGTAAACATCACTTCTCTGTGCAAGGAACTCATATCTTTCCACTTCCCAGTTAAGATGAAATTGGAACATTATCTTTCCACTTCCCAGGAGCATAATTGATCTGCTCTAATTAATGAACTCCATTTTGATAAAGCCAAGATTTTTGCACTGAATATCACACCAAGGTAGTGTCATTATGTTTCCAAAGATCCACCCACCCATCTATACAAAAGAGAATGTTCCATTTTCACCAAAATTGCCAATGAAACAAAAGATCTGCTTTGACTTTCCATCCTGCTTTTCTACACCTTCAAAAATTCTACTTTTCCTTTACGCCCAAATTGGTCAAACACACAAGAGGAGCTTCTTTCCACACTTCCCTCTTCCTAGCATCCATATTTTCCACGTACGTATTGGCGAATCTCCTTTGTTATTTTGTTTCCTTTATTTGTGTAGATGTTTTTGTACTGTTATTTTATTCCTTTATTTGTGCAGATTTTGGTGTATCTTTAGTTTGTCAATTATAGCTCATTATCGTATAATTTAGGAGTAATTCTTGGTCCATCCTTTGTATTTAACGAGCTTTGTACATCATGAATAAAGCTCATACTCTTCCTGCTGTGCACCTTTATGGTATCAGAGCTTTTCAAAGCCCCGACGAGAATCAATTGTCTGCTCGTCTCTTTTAAACCTACCTCATAGTTTCTATGTCATCCATGGTTAATCCAAGCGACTCCATCATCCCTGCTAATAACACCAATTACCTGGTTCAATTTAATCCAGGTTCCCAACTTTCTCTAAAGCTCACTGGTCCAATCAATTTTGTCAATTGGAAGGTCCAAGTCGAGTTTTGATGTTGGGACACGACATCTATGGCTATCTTGACGGAACTATGACAACACCACCAAAAACTGTCACCGTCAACAAGAGAAACCCAATCCCAAATATAAACTCTGTTTCGTCAGGACCAGTTGATCCGCAATGCATTCATGGTATCTGTTGATCCGAAGATCACCTCTGCAATCACAAAAATTTCCACTTCCAAGCAAGCGTGGGACTCGTTAAGTAACTTGTATGCGAACAAATCTCATACACGGGTGTTCAGTCTTTGAAACTCCTTAGCAACAATTAAAAAAATTCCCGCAGTATGACTGAGTACTTGCGAGAGATCAGGAACGTTGCTGACGAACTTGCAACTGCTGGAGCTCCTATTCCATATGACGACTTGTAGTCAAAATACTCAGTGGTCTAAGACTTGAGTATGATTCGATTTCGGCGGCGATTCAAGCACGAGATGCACCTATCTCGTATGAAGAATTGTATAACAAGCTTCTGAATCGGGAACTTCTCCTGAAGCATCAAGAGCCGAACCAATCAAAATCCTCAATCACTATTGCAATGGCACAAAAAGCTTCCTCAAACAATTTTGTACCTCGCAACAATAAGCGAGGACGACCATGGTGTTCAAAAAATCCCAAGCAGCAAAATGCACCATCATCACCTAACTGGCATCCAACAGCCCCTCCCCAACAAAATCGTCCAGTTTGCCAGTTATGTGGTCGTACTGGGCATACTACCAATGTATGCCGCTCATGCTCTCATAATCACTTGGAAGCCAAGGCAAACTTTGCTGCCATGCCTTGCATTGTTGATTCGGGAGCGTCACATCATGTGACTACTGATACTCAGAATCTTCAACATTTAGATGACTACACTGGTACAGAGGATATTACAATGGGTAAAGGTAATAAAATCCCTATAACTCACACTGGTCATGTTCAAATAAATGCTTCAAACAAAAGGTTTCAGCTTTCGAATACTTTGTGTGCCCCAGATATTAAACATAACCTTATATCTGTGTCTCAATTTTTTAAAGATAACCTGACATCAATTGAATTTTTTCCCTATGATTTTCTTGTGAAGGATTTGAGCACGGGGGCGCCGTTGGCACAAGGCCAGAATAAAGGACTTTACGAGTGGCTCTCCCGAGGATACCAATGCAATTTGAGCTACCAATCCAACAAGGCGGAATCTCAGCAGTCTTGGCATAGAAAATTAGGACATCCAAATAAAAGAGTGCTCAAGACACTTTTATACAAGTTTTCAATTCCAGTTTCGAATTCTGCAAAGTTTGATCATTGTAATTCGTGTTGTTCCAATAAAAGCCACAGGCAACCTTTTTCTCAAAACACTCTATTGAGCAAGAAGCCTTCACAAATTGTTTTTAGTGATCTTTGGGGGCTCTCGCCTATTTTGTCAATTGATAAAAGATTATATTATGTAATTTTTGTTGATCAAGTCACAAAATATATTTGATTATATACGATTAAAAACAAAAGCGAGGTCCAAACAATTTTTCTAAATTCAAACCCCTTGTTTTCCTACAAAAATCTACACTGATGGTGGTGGTGAGTTTGAAGGCCCCAAACCATTTCTTCATACCAATGGCATTGAACACCTTGTATCACCACCATACACACCACAAAGAGTAGCCATGACTGAACGTAGACACAGACACATTATTGAAACAGCAAAAACCATTTTACATCAAGCCTCCATGCCTCTAGTATTTTGGTCATTTGCTTGTCAACAAGCCACATTCTTGATTAATAGACTGCCTACCTCAACACTCAATAATGATTCTCCATACCAACGGTTATTTGGAGAAATTCCAAATTACCACACAATCGTACTTTTGGTTGTGTCTGTTATCCATGGATTAAACCATATGCAAAACACAAATTAGAACCCAGGTCCACTCCTTGTGTATACCTAGGTTATTCTAATACCTATCACAGCTAGCACATAGTATACCACGTGAAAAACCCACCTTTAGATGCTTCAGTATCCCACATTGACTTCCACATGGTCCTCATATCACCTCTATTGAGTAAGTAGTTATAGTATGACTTCATTAAAAAACAGTTGCTGCTTGCCCATTCCATAATATTTTGTAATTTTTCCTTATAAAAAATGACATTTTATCACTCTTCCAAACTACATACAGCAATATATCTAGCAATATATCTTCTGAAGGTAACCATCCACTTCATCACATTCAAATCTTGGATGGATCTCCTAAAAAATGCTTCCCCACATACTTGTATTTTATCACTCTCGAGCATTTAAGGTATCATGGCATGCTTATCAACTGTTACAAAAAATAGTTGGGAATTCTTCCTTCAAGATTAAGCCTCCACACCGAACATATAGCCGATACAATTCGACCGTGACCCGATGAATCTTGAGAAATCCTTCACTCCCCTCATGATTACCTCTCCACGTGCATAACCCATATGTGGCCATAATACTATCAAGAAAGCTACTTATGCTCATTAATAGTTGTATTTTGCAAGAATCAACCTCCTCCATAAAGGGGCGGATGCACGCTTACCGAAGCGGTGTCACGCGACACCGCTTCGTCGGAAAATTTTACTAAATATATGTGTTAATACTGTACAGAAACGGATAAGTAGAAAAAAATGACACCACTTAACATAAATTGTGTCTTGGTGTGTAGGTTATGTGCTTGATTTTGCTCTAAGAGGTCAAAGGTTCAAACCTCAACTAGTACATTTTTCTTTTGCAAATATTTAAGACAGCCTTTGTGGTTAAAAATTGTGATGAAGTAGAATTGAACCCAGGACCTTTTCTAACTTAAGATTCAACAAAGCCAATAGACTAAGGCTATTTCTTGTCTAAAAGTATGATAATCAAAATTATATTCCAGTTCTTCTGTAAATTTCGACACCGCTTATAAAAATTCCTGCGTACGCCCCTGACTCCATAGTACTTCCTTCTAGCGGTGCTCCTCTTCGGTTTATTAGAGTTAGCTTTTCGGGTTGAATTAGGCCCAAAGTCCGTTTTCATAACATGGTATTAGAGCCATACACATCCCTATTGTTATATTTCCCAAGGTAGAGCCCTAATGTTATGTTATCCACGCTCCAGTATCTGACCCTTAGTATATAGGGCAATGTTAGAATATCTCACATTGGTTGAGGAAATGAATTGTTGTCTCCCTCTCCCCCTTTTCTTTCACAATTCAATTGGCTTTTCCCCCCTTATATTCAAAGAGAAAACCAAACTTAGTTAGGACAGTCATACTAAATCTTCTACACAATCAAATAATGCAACATATTCCAACTATTAAGCACTCGCATGATTCTTTTATCCAAATGGAAAATTACCTTCTCTTTCATCACTCTGTCTTCTTGCCTAGAAGCCCAATTCTAACCTATCTCTTGAGCACCTAAGTTTGGATTCATATGGCATCTAATCTTTGCTACCAGAACCAATGAACAATTATCTTTGTGATTCACAAGGCATGACCAGGAACAAGAAGATGATATATTGAAGCTACAAAGGATAAAAAAACAACCCTTATCAAAAGAGCATGGTGTCACATGGGAGCTTGAAAGGATTTCAGAAGAAGTCATGAACAATTAATGTAATAGAAGGAAAAAATTGTGAAAAAGTAGATGATGCAGAGGAGTATGTCCCCTATTTTGTGGTCACTCAGATGATCACTAGCAGCCCAAGCATGCTAGAGTAGAGAAATGCTTTGTCTGCGGCAAAATGCTGTTGATCTTGTATACAAGAACTAAAGCATTATTTCGACAGATGCCCACAACTGAAAAAGAAGGATCTTTCATGACGATGCAACAACAAACAACAACAACCCAGTATAATCCCACAAGTGGGTCTGGGTCTGGGGAGGGTAGTGTGTACGCAGACCTTATCCCTGGGGGTAGAGAGACTGTTTTCGAAAGACCGTCGGCACAAGGAGATGAAAAAGAGGTAATGGAACCAAAAAATTGCTTTCTCTCGGGGAAAACGACAATGAAATCAATTATCTATCAAAGAAGGTGCATATGCATCACGAACAATTTAGAAAGTGCATGATAATTTCTCCAATCTGTTTGACATAGTAGAGTTGAATGAATGTACCTGATAATCCTGCAACCAGTCTATCTAGATGCTATACGCGATTTATGACAAATTTTCCTCCTATTAGAAGTCCTAAAGTTATTTCTCATCATGAGATGAGATTAACATGGATTACCAAATACCAAACCAAAGATAATTTCCAGCTTCAATCTGGGAGCTGAAAACAGGCATTTCTCTAAAGGTCCCCATTGTCTTTACTTGCAAGTCAGTTTTTGCCACAAATCTAAAAGAATAAGTGACTGCTACCGGATACAGATATGTGACCTCTCGGGCCCTGTAAGGTGATCAAGTGCTGTGTCTTTAACTAACACCGCAACCAGGACTACTCGAGGAACTATACTGCTGAAAATGAAAAGGTTGGCTTTTGAATGAGCAGAATGCTTACCAACTAACAACAACAACAACAAACCCAGCGATGGGGAGGGTAATGTGTAATAAAGTTCAAAATGGAACAAACTCTAGGATCAGCAATACCATCATAAGTCGTAAAAAAGAGTCTTTTTTATTTTTATAAGTATGGCATAACAAAGAAGTATTGAAAAGCTACAACAAAATTGACTTGCCACAGGATCAAATTATCCACAAAGATGAAGTCTTTTCTACTAAAAGCATCGCACTACGAAAGAAAGATCACGAAAATTAACGAACATTATCAATTAGGGAAGATCACATATCCACATTGCAAGAGCCTAATGCATCACAATACATAGAAGCAGAAAGTATAAATTATCTTCAGCTAGTTGTAGACAAATTACTATTGCAATCAAGATTGTAGTAATAAAAAATTCCCTATGCCCATCACTAAGTACAGACAATCAAAATTTCCAAACATACAAGAATCCCATCTGACAAATCTCCACACTGAGCTCTAATCAGTGGAAAGGAAATGTTATTGCTAGCATTTTGAGCTTAAATAGACCCACCCAATTCTTGAAATAAAAACAACATATGCAAATAAAAAATACCAAAAAATGAAAATCAAAGTGTTTAATATAAAAAGAGAAAAAACAAGACGAAACCTGCAATCTGCTGGTGTCCAACAAGAGGCAAATTTGAGCTTGCTGGCCAACTAAAATCACCAGAAGGGAAAAAATAAAATAAAAATACTTGAAAGTGGGAAATAAAAGTATTATTAACAAGGAAAGTTAAAAAGAATATA